TGTGCGTCTGAATTCTATAGTCGCATTTTGGTTGTCGATTAGATAGGAATCGAGCGTGTTGCCACATAAGATATTTTAGCCGATCAGGATCGGTGTGGTTTGGGTAGTTACCAGCACGTTAACCTTTTTGAATGTGGGTGAGTCTCGACAGCCGATGGTGATGTCGCAAGTCAGTTCGCCGAGGGCGGTAGTGCTGCCGTTGATTCCTTTTACTACGACGTCGGAGCGGGTCATGTGTTTCTTGGCTTCTCTAGGTAACTGAGATATTGGTAAGATGCAGGTGGAGTATCCAGAGTCTAGCATTGCGACGCCAGAGAAGGTGATGTCCCTGAAGTTGAAGGTGGACTGGACGAGCGGTGAATGGTGAGCAAGTCCTTGAAAATTGAAGGTGTGATGACTGACGTAGGGGAAGGCGAACAAGGCATCACATCTCGTCCTTCCACATCATGTATGGCTTGTATATTATCATTCGTTGCGGCGATATGGGCTTGTGCCCGAGTGCGAGGTGGGTGGCAATATAGGCAGTTGCGTCCATGGAGGCAGGGCGACCTCTGAGGTAGTTCTTGCACACGCTGATTCGTGGTGTGTGCTGATGGTGTCGGATGGTGGCCATGTTCGGGAGGGTTGGTAAGGCCCGTCTGCTGTGGGTTTGGTTGCCTGCTAGGTCGGAGTGGCGCGTTTCTTTGGTTTGACCGCTGTGGTTTCTGTGTGAAATACACAGTGTCGTGCGAAGTCATGTCGTTGGATTTTACACCGCGATCAAGGTATCTTTGAGCTTCGGAGGCTATGCCAATGGCTGAATAGTGGTTGTCCATTGTCTTCACAAGATGTGGGTAAAGATTTGAGTTCCAAATTTTCACCTTTTCGCTCATTAGCATAGCGCCGATGATGGAAATAAGTCCATCGACTGTTAAGTCTGTATTTTTGTCTTTGTTGTATTTGTTTTTGTTTTTTTTTTTATGTGGACGGCTGCCTCTCTCTCGCCGTTCCAGATCTCAGGCTTGACTGAAGTGTTGGAAGTTAGTCATCTGGCTTCCGTGGGCTGCTTCAGTCGTTCAAAAGTGGATATGTCTTTTTTGAGTCAACTATCTGCTGAAATATACTTTGGTCCAGTAAATCTTTAGCAGACTTGACGAATTCACATTCCAGGCTGGGATAGGTGCTGAGTTCTGGCGTGACGTGGATTGTGTATGCTTTGTTTAGAGCCGTGATGAATCGGTTCATGTCGTGGCCAGGGTGAAAAGTTCTCCCTAGCTTCAATATATCGCTTATAGTTTGTTGGCGCATCATTAAGCTGTAATCGCCGTTTGTTTGAGCGGTGGAAGTTGTTGATTTTAGGGCAGTCAGCATGTCGTTTATGTCGGCTTGAATTTCTTGTATCGTGGCTTCGGAAAGCTGTGTTGGTCCCGTTTTCAACTTGAATAGTAGTGTTTTCTGTTCCTTGATGAGAGTAAATAGTTCGTCTCGAGTGAAGTTCGTGTAGTCGTCCATATTTCTCTTGCTGTACGCTTCTGACACCAGTTTTATAGACAAGCGTATGGTTGCAAGAAAGAAATACGACAACAGCAAAAATAGATTTACGTGATTTATTTCAATAGGAACGTGTGGTTTTGGGACAGCTACCTTGTGGCATAGTTCATAAGCCGGATTCCGATCTGGGTTGATCTCTCATAGTAGTTCTCACTCGTTTTTTATGGCTTAACAGGCTCGAAAAACGACGCGAGTATAATTAGGAGGGAAGCATATTTATTGGTCGAAAAATAGAAACACTTTAAAATATTATTTTATTTTTCGACCGGAACTCGTGCGTCGGGCCTATGCGCAAATGACGATAATGGTCATTTTGTGACGGGGCCTTGTCCCGTTCACATCCGGCTCTCGCTCTTGAGTATGTTAGTTTATTTGCCTGCAAATCAGCCGAGATATGTCTTATTTTATTTTATAACACTACTCTATTTAGTACATTACGGGTTACAGCATGATTAGAAGAGACAGATTTAATTTTATCCTCATCTCGAGCCAACTTTACATAATAACAATTGGCTTTATGTTTTACAGACTTTTCAATGGAATTTTTTGCCTCTCAATTTATAATTTAACTTGTTTAGATTTTCCACAACATTATGAAACCCACCAATATTAAATTCAATATTAAAATCATTATCAACCAGAATAGGTAAGGAACGATGAAAATCATTAAATCCGACAGCAAACATTACTTAGTTTCTTTTGATTGGCACTTAAAAATATTTTAACTCTAAACTTCGTAGATGGAATAAAATCATTTTTATCTCTTACTTTGATTAACATATTGAGAAATATGATCTTTGACTTCCCGTGTCCACTAAACAACTGAATTTATATGGCTCGTTTCCGTTAAAGACTTTTATAGAGATAAAAGTAAAATTAATCTTGTTGTTTACCGCTATGTTTGTAACATATATTGATGGTCGGTGTTTTGTTTTGTTTAAATTTTTGCGAACAAGGGCACAGACATGTCCTTTGGATTTACAAAATTTTCATTTAAATGTTAAGACTTTTTTCTTTTTTGCAATGCACTCTGGACTTCTATGTTTGTGACACATGCAAAGAAAACAAACTTCATTCCTTACATTAACTAATCTAGATCCCAGAGAAGGGAACTTAGGACACGAAGTACTAGTATGATTTTCAGCGCCACAACACTTGATAATTGTGGTTTTCAGTTTTCATATATGTATTAAAATTTTGTAACGTAGGACAAGATTTGTTTTGATTTGATATCTGATCTTCTTTATTTGTGTTATACTTAAATCTCGTTATAGCGAGTGTTTTGATTACTTCGTTATACCAAAAATATATACCAGCGTAGGATAATTAGTCCTGCAATACGAAATAATATACCTTTTCAAAACATTGGGCAAACTAGAAAAAATAATATAGCTCATATATTTCCAGGGGATTTACCCTCCAAGTCTGCTTATATTACAATTTTTTGTTGTTATTCATTGCTTTTTCTTTAGCACTGGTTCCCATATTGTGGCCGGCTCAGGCGATATTTTTGGCCTAGCATATGTGCTGATTCCTTAAGTTTTCGTATTTTCTAGTGATGTTCTTTGTCTATTATTTCAGCCTCATCCTACAGGGGACGGTAATCTTCCTTTTTCCTCCATATGTGGTCAGCTACACCTGATTTTTCTATTTCTCTTCGCTTTACGATGTTCTTGCAGTCACACCTTAAGGGGGCGGTCTGTTTCTCCTTTATGTTTCTTACCACAGATGCACGGGATGGTGTACACACTGCCCTTAGTCATGTTCTCTCTATAGGGGAAGAGGTGCCTGCGAAGTGTTGAACCACTTTTGAAGTTTGTTCTGATGTTATATGCACAACAGATCTTTTGTATTCTCTTCGATAATCCCTTCACATAGGGTAGGCAGACTGAAGCTGTTTTCTGAGTTGTTATCCTCTTATACCCTTCTATCCTAGTTTGTTGGAGCTGCTGCCATGTACCCGGGGTATATGTGGATGAAATAAATGGTTCGGTTCGAAATTCCAATCACCTGAAGAAGGCCGGAGCTTACAATAGCCGAAACGTTGTGAATATGGCAATGAAGATGAGGATAACAGTCCAAATAATGTAAATAATGTAAGTAAACTCTGTTTAGTTTTGAAAAGTTAACGCACGGTTAACACAGTTTAGTTCAGTCACAATACTGAATGAATAAGTATTTTTTTAAGAATCAACGGCAGAATTTTATCTTTGAAATTCTCCGATAACTTCAGAACAGAATTTTTTGTTATTTCACTCAATATACTGAATTTACGTTGGAGATATTTTATATTTTAATAGCGGAATTTTACATTACCCTTCGCTATTTAAGTTAAGATAACGCTTAACTTTTAGTTTACATTAAGAAATTTTTTTAGAAATTGTTCCAAAAGAAGGCAGAATCCAATTTTTGTTTTTTCAAATAAATTTAATTCAAATTAACTGAATTTTTTTTTTGTTTGATGATAGTCTTTGGAAATGTTCCTGTGATATATGAAGTTAGGATAAGTTAAACTCAAAAGAAATCATTTGAATGAGGTAATTTGGGACCGGTAAGAAAAATGCAAAAATGGCAGCATGCTGAATGCAGATGATGCCACACGTAGCATGTCGTTACGTAAATCCAGAAATTTGGTGGGAAGCCAAATCAATATGCTGTGTTGCTAAGTTGAATTCAACATGGCGACGTGCCGATGAAAAAGGCGCCAAAACGTGGTATGGTTGCTAAGTAACTAAACATGATAGCATAGGCCATCATGATAGTGTTTCTGCGAACGAAAGTTAAGAGAATTAGCATGAAAAATTAATGAATAAAACAAGAAATAATTCAAACAAAGCAGATGACTGCGTTGCTTGTTGCGAATGTGTGTGATGTCTGTTGGAGAGGAATAGAAGGATTAAAATTGTGTGTGTTCAATAATCTTCCATCCACAACAATTAATACAAGACAGAGAATAAAGATTCATAAACATCTTGTTTCAAAACGTAACAATTGAATTTATTAATATTTGGTATTTGGTCAGACAGAGTTTTGTCTCTTAGATTAGGTAAATATTTGTATCTAAGTTCATAAAGTGAAAATAATTATTAAACTGTAGTTCGTACTTGCGTGAATGTTGGTAAGGCTAAGACGGGAGTTCTTGAAGATTACATCTTGATGCTTGGTAGCAAGAAATGAGACGCGCGAGAGAGAGATGAATGAAAAGAAATTCAAGGGAGTTTACACGTGTTCTGTTTATATATCATCGTGAATCACGTGACTGGCTCAGATGGAAAACGCGGTAAAACAGATTTGTCGCGTGCAGGCGGTTTGAAGTTTGAAGGTAATTGACCAATGGATGCTTGTTATATATTTGTAAGATTGTGATGGTGAAAATTATAACAGGAATAGTGCATTTCCTAGCAGGGGTTAACTAGCTTGTTGTGGAAGAGTCCACATGCTCAACAAAAATGACAGGATGTTCTCGACCGTCAAATCCGGGGCGGTAGGAAAGAAAAGAAAAACAGATTCACTGCATCTTCCCAAGATAGAGAGGATAAGCAGAGAAGAGAAGGAAAGCCAATGTCTGTGTCTTTCCAAGCAGTAAGAGGTAAAAAGAGGAAAAGAAAGTAAACCTGAACAAAAGGAAATAGGGAGGACCTCATCACCAAAAGGACCTCATCACCTCATCACTTGTTTCAGGCAACCCTTCCGGTCAGGTAGGCGATCATTACTGTTGTGATGACAGGATCAGCAACATACTCCTGATGTTGGGGAAGAGAAGTGGTATTTACCTTGAACCCCCACTTTGAAACATAGAAAGTTTTGTTAGAAATTAGCATCACTGGTACGTAACAAAACCATTGTCAGTCAAGGGAGCTAATCCTCTTCCGGTTGCTGAACTGGTGGATGCGACAGGCTCTATCCCCAATAGCTCATAAGATGAAAATTTGAATGGTCATAACTTGGTTACTAATTGAACTACCAAGATAAATTTGGTACCATTTTCTTTTATGGTTTGTCAAGATATCTATGTTTGTAGTAAAGATTTAGATATATTGAAAATAAAAGTAAAAGCGTAAAAGCAAAGAGCACATATAAATTCGGTCAAATAGATTCTTAAATATATTTTATTATCGTGAAATTGTCAAAAGGACTAAGAGATTATTTTTATGGTTGAATAGTATGTGTGGGGTGTGCATTCATATTTTAAAGCAATGATAGGGACAGGGGAGTGTAAACTGGACAAACCACCTAGGTTAACGAGAAAGTAATCAACAACTTCCACCACCGTCAACCCTACGCCATTTACGCAGATTTTTAGGGATGATAAACTATTAACTGCGCTACCATACTCTTGTCATAATTAACCTCCTTTCTAAACATAAAAAAAATCCCTAAGATCACGTTATCTGCGAAAGAGTTAGTCTCCTTCAACAAAGCTAAACAGGAATTAAAGAACTGCACCAAACTATCGTACATTATATCTTCACCTGATGAAAAATTGACTTTAACCACAGACGCATCATCAAATACAGTCGGAGCTGTACTTCATCAGGTCATTAACGGTGTCGAAAAACCCATGTCATTTTTCTCTGTCAAACTCAATTCTGCCCAGGTCAAATACAGTGCCTTTTCACGTGAAATGTTGGCAGTATATCTAGCCATCAGACATTAACGACATATATTAAAAGGGCGCGATTTCTCGGTCTTCACGGACCACAAGCCACTGACATACGCTCTAAACGCAAAGTCTAATAAGCACAACCCACGAGATATTCGATACTTGGATTACAGCACACAATTTACATCTGATATCCGTTATATTCGCGGCACCTGCAACATAGTCGCCTATACTTTATCACGGACAACTCTCAATGCAGTTCAACCTGCAACATTGGACTTTGACAAACTGATGGATGAACAGATTAATGACGACACTGTCAGCTGTTCGAACAAATACTTCGTTAAAAATTGAAAATCGACCTCTTCCGTTTACGGATAGGACTATTTACTGTGATGTAAGTACGGGTAACCCGCGCCCGTATATACCACCGTCTATGCGCCGTCTTGTTTTTGACTACTTCCACTCCCAGCCACATCCAGGAGGCAAGACAACGTTGCGGACCATATCAGGCAGATTTATCTGGCCTGGTATGGCTACTGACATCAAACAGTGGTCCCGCACGTGTGTACGGTGCCAGGCAACGAAGGTTGGTAAACACACCAGAGCACCAGCATCAACTTTTCCTGATCCTGAACCATCTGTTGCGGCGCTAAGCAGGTTGCCTGTTAACCTCGCAAGCAGAAAAATAATATAGGGTAATACGATCGAAGCAAAGACAACAAAGATGAGGATGTAAATGTTTAAGCCAAATTTTATTAAATAATCTGGCACAAGTATATACAGATAATCGTTTGTGGTAGTTCGGTCGTGTAGTTTTGAAGGAGCGTTGTCAGTTTTCAAGGCGACAGCTTGAAGGTAGGCCGATGGAAGTGCGGTGTTCGAGGTCCAGTCGATCCCTGGATGTCTGTACTTGTGTAAAGAGCGCGTCGGCGCTTGAGGAGAGAGAGGATCGACGCGGACGGCGCTGATGTAGTCAGTTCGTCCTTGGTATGACTGTCGTGCAGGATCGCAGTTCTAATAAAAGGACATTCGTAATAACGCGGCTAGGTTATTCCTGAAAAGGACTATTGCATATTATGTAACCAGGCGTAGTCCGGAAAAACGACTAGTGCAAAATCATGTAACCGAGGGTAGACTAATGCATATCATGTAGCCGAGTGTAGACTAGTGCATATCATGTAGCCGGCTGCTGCTGCTGGTGAAGCTGGGTCGGCCTGCTGCTGCTGCTGGTGAAGCTGGGTCGGCCTGCTGCTGCTGCTGCTGGTGAAGCTGGGTCGGCCTGCTGCTGCTGCTGCTGGTGAAGCTGGGTCGGCCTGCTGCTGCTGCTGCTGGTGAAGCTGGGTCGGCCTGCTGCTGCTGCTGCTGCTGGTTGAAGCTGGTCGGCCAGCTACTGCTGCTGATGGTGAAGTTGGTAGGCCTGCAGCTGCTGATGATGAAGCTGGGCTGCTCTGGCTGCAGCTGGCTCTGGCTGCTTCGTGTGGTCAGCGAAGGTGAGAGGGGGAGAGTTCGTCGCTCAAACCCGAGGCCAAAAATCCGCCGGGAGAATGGTATTTACTTGACTCCCACAAAGTCAAGATGTTCCACAAGGACGTTTAACGTGGGAGACCAGAGTGTTTCCACTCAAAGGCCACTGGTCCAAAACTGGTCATAGCTTGTCCAAGCTGGCCAGAGCTTAGTCAAGGCTGGTCATGACATGTCCTAGCAAGTCCCGGCCGGAGCCAGTCCAAGCTCGTCGAAGCCTATGGTTGTGGCGTTCAATCTCCTGTAATCGACGCATACCCTAAAGTCTGTGCTTCCCGGTTTAGGTACGAGATGTAGGGGTGAGGCGTATGGGCTATCGGAGGGTCGTATGAATCCGTCCTTCAGCATATTGTTGAATTCCTTTTGGGCGTATTCAAGCTTATGAGGAGGAAGTCGTCGTGGGTGGGAAAATGTTGGCTGTCCACTGGTCTTTATATGATGCTGTGTTTGGTGTTTTGCCGGACCGGTACCCCCGAGTGGTTGAATGAGGTCCGGGTATCTATTTAGGATTTCGATGTCCGTGGCAAGTTGTTACACTGATTCCAGTGGTGTTGTGTGGAGAGAGGGTGCCTTTAACAGAAATGTTCGTGGTGTTGTCTGATAAAGTCCTCGTATTCATATGCACGGCTAGGTCATAATGGGCCAAGAAATCTTGCCCGAGTATTGGCGTTTTTACGTCTGCCTGGGTGAAAGTCCAGGTAAAATCACGCCGCATGCCGATGTTAAGAGTCAGTGTCTTGGTTCCATATGTCTCGATCGTCGAGCCGTTTGCTGCCTGGAGCTTATACAGGGTCGACTTTCGGTCTTGCTGTTCTTTGGGGGGTATCATACTGATTGCTGCTCCTGTGTCCACTAAAAACTTTATGTGGTTCCGTCGGTCCCATACGTAGAAAAGGCGGCTTCGTATGTTTTTGCCGGGGGTCTGCTGCCCTACGCGCCGGCTGTTTAGTTTTTCCGACTTAGTTTTGGAGCTGTATTTGCAGGGTGCCGAGCAATTCTTTGCCCTGGTGCCGAATCTGTGGTGGTACCAGCATAATTCCGGGTCGACTCGTCGATCCCTGCTGGTACTCCGTGCACTCCGTCGCCAACCGCCGGGCCTCTCGATTTGCGGGAAAGGTGCATTCGTATATCCTGCAGCTGATGTTGCAGGTCAGCTACTGCCTTTTCCAGATCTGTGTCTTTGGCTGGTGTGTCGTTTGGGCGCTGCACGGCACACACTCCTTGGTCCAGTTTAGTTGCGATGCGGTCAGCGGAGTTTCCTAACTGGTCTAGTGGAGTATTGTCAGCGATTGATGCCAATATCTGCGTTATTGTAGCGGGTAACTTGTCCATCCACAGTTCGCGCAAGATCGATTCGGACATTGAATGTTTTCCCAGTCGACTCCTCATGAAGCGTAGGAGCTGTGAGGGTGTTCTGTCGCCCCTGGTGACGTGGGTAAAAAGTTCCCGGAGCAGTTCCTCATCCGAACGGCCGATTCGTTTCAAAATTCGACGTTGGCGAATTTTGATTGCTGTGACGTTATTCTCCGTACTGAGAAAATGGCTTCCAACTGCAGAAACGAGTTCTTGGTGTTCTGTTCGTTATACGGAGGGAGGATCGTGAGTGGCATTGCTACATTTATGGGAGTGTTCTGTTCGCACTCGTCTGTTGCCATCTTGCTCGATCGTAAATATCGGAGTCACCACTTGTTGCGGCGCTAAGCAGGTTGCCTGTTAACCCCGCAAGCAGAAAAATAATATAGGGTAATACGATCGAAGCAAAGACAACAAAGATGAGGATGTAAAAGTTTAAGCCAAATTTTATTAAATAATCTGGCACAAGTATATACAGATAATCGTTTGTGGTAGTTCGGTCGTGTAGTTTTGAAGGAGCGTTGTCAGGTTTCAAGGCGACAGCTTGAAGGTAGGCCGATGGAAGTGCGGTGTTCGAGGTCCAGTCGATCCCTGGATGTCTGTTGAAAAGGATTTTGTGTAAAGAGCGCGTCGGCGCTTGAGGAGAGAGAGGATCGACGCGGACGGCGCTGGTGTAGTCAGTTCGTCCTTGGTATGACTGTCGTGCAGGATCGCAGCTTAGTAGTTCTAATAAAAGGACATTCGTAATAACGCGGCTAGGTTAGTCCTGAAAAGGACTATTGCATATTATGTAACCAGGCGTAGTCCGGAAAAACGGCTAGTGCATATCATGTAACCGAGGGTAGACTAGTGCATATCATGTAGCCGAGTGTAGGTTAGTGCATATCATGTAGCCGAGTGTAGGTTAGTGCATATCATGTAGCCGAGGGTAGACAAGTGCATCATGTACCCCGCTGCTGCTGCTGCTGGTGAAGCTGAGTCAGCCTGCTGCTGCTGGTTGAATCTGGTCGGCCTGCTGCTGCTGATGGTGAAGCTGGGTAGGCCTGCTGCTGCTGATGATGATGATGAAGGTGGGCTGCTCTGGCTGCTGCTGCTAATTGAAGCTAGGCTGCTCTGGCTGCTGCTGGCTCTGGCTGCTCCGAGGCCAAAAATCCGCCGGGAGAATGGTATTTACTTAACTCCCACGGGGTCAAGATGTGACGCAAGGTCGTTAAACGTGGGAGACCCGAGCGTTTCCACTCAAGGGCCACTGGTTCAAAACTGGTCATAGGTTGTCCAAGCTGGTCAGAGCCTAGTCAAAGCTGGTCATGACTTGTCCTAGCAAGTCCCGGCCGGAGCCAGTCCAAGCTAGTCGAAGCCTTGATCGAATCTCAGCCATAGGCCAAGAAACGATCCAATATTTGTCAAAAACCCCAACGAAAAAATTCGTCGGGAGAATGGTATTTACTTTGACACCCACAAAGTCAAGATGTGACACAAGGTCGTTTAACGTGGGAAACCCGAGTGTTTCCACTCAAAGGCCACTGGTCCAAAACTGGTCATAGCTTGTCCAAGCTGGTCAGAGCCTAGTCAAAGTTGGTCATGACTTGTCCTAGCAAGTCCAGGCCGCAGCCAGTCCAAGCTAGTCGAAGCCTTGATCGAATCTCAGCCATAGGCCAAGAAACGATCCAATATTTGTCAAAAACCCCAACGAAAAAATTCGTCAGGAGAACGGTATTTACTTGACACCCACAAAGTCAAGATGTGACACAAGGTCGTTTAACGTGGGAGACCCGAGTGTTTCCACTCAAAGGCCACTGGTCCAAAACTGGTCATAGCTTGTCCAAGCTGGTCAGAGCCTAGTCAAAGCTGGTCATGACTTGTCCTAGCACGTCCAGGCCGGAGCCAGTCCAAGCTAGTCGAAGCCTTGATCGAATCTCAGCCATAGGCCAAGAAACGATCCAATATTTGTCAAAAACCCCAACGAAAAAATTCGTCAGGAGAACGGTATTTACTTGACACCCACAAAGTCAAGATGTGACACAAGGTCGTTTAACGTGGGAGACCCGAGTGTTTCCACTCAAAGGCCACTGGTCCAAAACTGGTCATAGCTTGTCCAAGCTGGTCAGAGCCTAGTCAAAGCTGGTCATGACTTGTCCTAACAGGTCCAGGCCGGAGCCAGTCCAAGCTAGTCAAAGCCTTGATCGAATCTCAGCCATAGGCCAAGAAACGATCAAATATTTGTCAAAAACCCCAACGAAAATATTCGTCGGGCTAATTAATTTGGTGGGAGAAATCTGCTGTGTTTATATAGGCTGAGGTCGGCAACGTAGCTTGTTAGTGATATCTTTGGGGTGATGACTGAAAATTACCTTCTACTTTTTGGCTGTACACATGGGTTACATTCGAACACCATGTGTATATAAAGTAGTTTCTGTTAATTGTTTTTGATTAGGAAGGCATGTGTATGTAAATGTTTCGTTTGTTTTGATTTTGTGTGAGTCATTGACTGAAAAACGCTGAGTCACCGGAAGTTAACGGCATTCGTTATGTTTTCCGCGGTGACGCTTTTAGAAGTTTGAGTAGCCGGCAGTAACTTCCGGCCGGGTGCGATACATCCTTCAACAGCTGAATCATTAACTAATACACCTACTCGAACCAGATCGGGCAGACATGTACACTGGCCTGCCAAGTTCGCGACCTATTAGACATATTAATAGTCATGTTGTCCATAGACCATCAAACTATATTGTGGAATCTTCCACATTAGCCTTTAACCCCTTTCAGAAAGATGTATTCTTCTCTAAAAAGCATTTAACCAATCATCATCTTGTTTCTGCAAATTCAACCTCCTATTGGTTAATAAACACCAAATTGTAGCAAAGTTCCAGGTGAACCCTATTTTCCCGCCGAGCTCTCTGGAGCCGATTTTGCTACACAAGAGTCTATAAAAATAACCACATTCAGTCAGTCAATCATCGAGTTTCATGAGATGTTACCAAACTCCACTGACTCACACACCACATAGAAATCTCAACAAACTCAGCAAAACATTCATCAACCATTGTTCGCATGTTTAATCAACATTTACAACTGACTTAAAAAGTGAACGTTTTCACTACTAAAAAAAGTAATTGTACACTTCACCAGTTTAGCCTATCAGTTAAAGGCAAGCAACTCTTGACAACATTTATCCTTACTTCTAAATTACGCACGTACTCACACTGATAAATGAACGAACACATTTGACATCTTTCTTTGCGGAAACCAAATTATTTTAATCTTTCTAACAATCAAAAAGCATCAACATTTCTTGACCACATTTCTGCATAAACATTCTTTATAACATTATCTTAGTTATTACAACAACAAACATTTTGATTGTCATTATATGCATATTTTATTGTGATATAAAAACTTCTTTATTGTTAGATAACAACTGTGTTTAGTAATTTCTTGCCATGCAAATTGTCCTTAAATTGTTTGTGTAATCTGTATGTTGTGGAATACTGACATTATAAGTACGCATAATCTTCGTCTTACATAAATTTACCTTCTGATACATTTCACTCCATGTACATCCCGCAACAATATAGATTAAAACTTAATAGATAGTGTCACCTCCATAACTAACTCTACCCTAACGCATATATTCAAAGCTAATCACCGTAATAATATTTACTAATATACTTTTTCTGGTCTGCACCTGAACTCTGAAATTTTATTCACAAATTATTTTTTTCTCTCCTCCATCAATAGGAGTAGATAGGTTCACACACTTCCCCATTAATTTGAACAGGAGTATACTTTGTTTCCTGGTTCGTGTAGGTTCGGAAACGGAAAGATAATTTTATCTCTGCCTTGAAGAGGTAGGAGAATTAAAATTAATGGTTAGAATAAACTACGCCCTTTTGCTCACTCGATTTGAAAATTAGATTTGTCACAAAAAACAGTTCAACCAATCTGAGATGAGCTGAGGTAGAATACTAAGGAGGAAGAGGGGAGTGGCAGTGTGAAATGAAGCAGGTTGGAGTTAGAGGAGGATCTATCTCTGTAACTATTCCTGAGAAAATGGATGATTCTCCAAATTTGAAAACTTGATTAAGAAAGCAGAAATAGTGACCAAAGTACCCTTATTAAAATTAATGTGAAAATTAAAGAATAAACAAATCCTAAGAACCCTTCAGCCCCATGCCAGTTTTGGGCTGAAGTGCATATAAGCAAATGACTTTGGAAGCTCGTGAACTTCTGGAATCCACATCAGCTGACACAAGATTTCCTGATTCCAAAAAACTTTGAACACAAATTATTAGGCGAGGCACAGTGTCACTACAGAAATTAATTTTGTACCAAGACTACATAAACCAATTGAAATTTTTCATTTTATTTTTTCATTGTGAAGTTATTTCTTCCTTAATATAGCACCCACCACGGTTTGCAATTTCTACAACATTCGATCTCCCACTGCTCTGATATCAAGAACACAGCAGAATTAGTGTGGATCGAAGCGACCAGCTTGGATCAGCATTGCCCAGCAATGCTTTTGATTAAAAACGTCATCCTAAGACCCTGAGGTCCAGACCACTAAACATGGTTATACCACTGGGGGTAGGTGGCAACAGGAGATGTTATAGGCCTTGTATTGGGTAAATATTAGTTTAAAATATATATTTTAGCATAAAAATATGAACAAGATTTAAATTAAATAAATGTAACAAAATATTTTCAATTCATGAAAAATAACCAACACAATACCTTATTTTACAATTACTTTCACTTAGAAAATGATTGTTCAAATGCTTATTAATTTGGCAGCTGCTTGAATATGTGTTCAGTTAAGACAAAATGTTGTAATAAACATTATTCTCTTGTGAATTCCTTCATAATTAGCTTTCTTTAATAATGTAGCAAATATAAATAAAATGGGTTAATAATATTTCCGTTTCCATTATGGGATGGGTAAATAGAAGGACAGACCAGGATGACAACTGGTCTATTGCAGAAAGAAATGGCAACTTACTGCAGGAAAAAATCTGCCTCGTCAGTCATGTATCGAAAGAACTGACTAATTATTTTATTTCATTTTCCTCACATATTCTATGACCATAGCCTTCCAGTACTCTTCAAGTATTATCTTAAAAGATCAGCAAGCTTCAACTTTGTACTCTCTGTCCCTACTGTATGAGATGTTGTATGCCATTTTTGGTTATAAATTTTTGAAGCTGTGTTGAGTGATGACATGATATAGTACCATCAACAAACTTCTTGAATTTTCTTACATAAAAGACAAAAGGAGATATGTTCTGGTATACTGACAGCTGCCAAACTGTTCTTTACAAGAAAAAACATTCAATATAGTTGCCTGTAGTATACACACACACATTACAAAGCACTAAAGAAAAATAGATGTTTTACAGCACACAAAATAATGCCAAATGTCAGTTCAAATTGCAAGAAAGTATTGTCACCATGGAGTGGAGGCATAGGAAAGGATAGTAAGTCATGTAAAGAATAAAAAATAAGTAAAAAGGGTTTATTGGTATTCCAAGGATTAATAAATACCTGCTTTGAAGAACAACAAAGATGCTTAAAGCCCTGGAGGAGACATAAAGGAACCAAACAGAACCATAATATTCAGCAAAAGATTTATAAATGCAATATTACACACTAAAACATACACAAGTGCCAAGTGTTTGAACAATCGTCTCTCTGTCTAAGGATAAAATTACAAAACTTAAAGCAAACTAAATTACAATATAAAAAACTTCAGTATGTCTCAATTTGCAAATAAACATATGCAATTGTAATTAAGAACAAACATAAAACCTTAGACGTGTTCAATAACTTAAAGTTATTGACATCTGCTGGTGACAATAGCAAAAGAGGTTATCTCACGGGAAGGGAAGCAAAAAAAAAGCAGTGGATGATACGAAATTCTTGGACTAATTAGAAAGACAGCAATACAATGCCAAGTAATGAATATAGGATGATAAACAAAAACATTAGAAATAAATGCAAGCCTGCAGAAGATGAATGGCTCAGCAAGAATAGTATAGATTGAAAAAATACAGAACAAAGATATAGAAGGCATGCATAAAAACAATCTAGTAGGACAGAATGTATAAAATCTAAAAAAAGAACACATTCATAATACAAAAGGAAAAAATACTATAGTGATGGTATGAATACATCAGAGTGCTCCCATAACAGCAGGAAAGAGAAGCATATATAAGGTTGTTCAGAAAGTAATGTCCAATATTTTAATTAATTTTTATTCCTTAATGTATTTAAACAATGTTTAAATCGGTTAAAATGGAAACCCTGAACATCTATACACCTCTGCTACAAGGTTATTTATGCCTTTATGGTAAAAACTCTAAAAGGTTTGAATCCAGCTTCTGCAGCTTCTTTGCAGTGGAATGTTTATTGGCTTAAAAATTGTCAAGATACTTTTAAAAGTGGTAGTCAGTTGGCAACAGATCAGGGAAATATGTTGAATGTAACAAAGTCTCATATCCAAGTTGGTGAGCTTCTGCAGTATCATCCTGGCAACATGTGACAGAGCATTGTCATGAAGCAGAACTGGACCACGTCAATTAACTAGTGTTATTTGCATTTTGCTTAACTGAATATACATTTCATCCAGTTGTGGGCAGTAAAATTTGGCAGATGTTCTGGTTAGATTCCAGAAAGCTATAATGGATAGCACAGACCACCATAATCTTCTGTTGATGCAATTTTGACCTTAGAAAGTGTTTGGATGTTTCATCATGATCAAGCCATTTAGCTGATTGTTTACGATTGTCAAAAAGGATCTATTCCTCATTGCAAGTCACTATTTGATCAAGAAATGGATCATTTAAATTTTGCAGATGCACCATCAAACACACTTCAAAATATTCAAACTCTTTGACTTTCATTGAGTTCATGTGGAACTCATTTATTGAGATTCTTCACCTTGCCAATTTTTTGAGATGGTCTGATATAGTTGAAATGCTAACATCTATCATCTGAGACATTTCTCTGACACTTTGACATGGGTTTTGTTTGACTAGTGTTTTCAGATGGTGATTGTCAGTGAATGAATGCTCTCTACTATCTTGATCATCAAAACTTGTGTTCCTATTGCAGAACTTCAGAAACCAGCAACATATGATCACAAGTGGAAACTTTACCCCATGCTCTATTAATATTGGAAGCATTCTGTGAAGCATTATGACCAAACTTGAACTGATGCAAAAAAAGTTGTTAATACTGTGGCTACCAATAATAAATCCTGGTAGAGAATAATAGAAATCATAACTGCCAGTACTCTGATAGACTTCCAGAAAGAGCTCCTGAGAAAAGATATAAACAATCCTTACAAACATACTGAATATACAACTTCAGACTGACATATGAGACAAATTAATACTATACACACAGGGCTGGTGCTAGGGTCTTGAACCTACACCCACCCCAACCTAAAAATTTGATATGGTGACGCCCTCCCCCCTCTACTATGTGTCGATTTCAAAACTTTCCCAAACTGGGAGCCACAAACCCTCAAAGGAAAATATGCAGCATTTTTTTAAATTACCAGAAATCAGGGAATTATCAAATTTAAATGAAAATTTCAGTAAATATTCATTAATTATTCACTTTTATAATGGATAGTATTTTTATCGCAAAAACA